CGGTGGCTGACAATACGCCGCGTGTGTGTGTGCCCAAGATCCCGAGAGGAGAATGGAGGAGAAGGGATTGCGGCGTGGCCATCCCCCCGGGGGGTGATTTCTCACTTTCTGTCTCTCTGTCTCTCTCTGTCTGTCTGGCGAGTGCATGTGCCCTATGTCAAAAAAAAACCCAAAAAACCTCTAAAAGAAATTATGTATATGCTTATATATATATATTTTTAAATTATTTTTACTTTTCTATAGGGCATGTGTGCTCCCTGGAGAGAGACAGAGAGAGGGAAGGAGGAAGGACCCTGCAAGGGGAACGTGCACACCACAATCCCTTCTCGTCCATTGTCCTCTCAGGGTTTTGGACATGCACACACTCGTGCCCAGAGTGTTTTTCAAGCTGCTGCGTGCACAGTCAGCCCTGTGGGATCCAGCCGCTGCAACCACCATGCCATTGGCTGGCCCTATTCTTAATTGTTTTTCTTTCTTTTTAGTTTTACCATAGGGCACACACAGAGAGATACAGTGAGGGAAAGTGAGAAAGCACCTCCCAGGAAAGATGGCCACATTGCAATCTTTTATCCTTTTGGGACTTTGGGCATATACATACATGTGACTGGCATGTGCCTTAGAACACTGGGGCCAGGACTCCAGCTGCCTTAACCACCATACCAACAGTTGACCTTATTCTTTTCATGGCTATTCATGTACACGGTCCTGCCAATTTTTTTCCTTGATTTTTTCAGAAAACATCATGCCCAACATTTTACCAAGTGAGAGTCTTTTGGGGGCTCCTTCCAGACTCTTCTTTGCATTCCTAAAAGGACTAACCCACCCTTTTCCATTTCCTCATGACCAGAATACTGTGATGGCGCCTGGCGGTTCTATCTGACCCAAGGCTCTCTTCATACCAGTATGTCAAGTAGCTCAGATCAACCTCAGCGAGCACGTTTTCCCTATCTATTGCCCAATCTTCTTAAGGACTGAGGGATGATACTGAGATGATCCCAAACCTAAACTTATCAGCCTGCCCTTCGAAATATCCCCCCCCAACTGAAATCCACTGAGCTCTCTGCTTAATTCTCCCACCATGTTTTCTCCACATTTTGCTCTGTGAATGACACCTTTAGAAACATATCATGGCTATGCTAAACTTGTCTGACGGTGTCACGCGGGGTTACATGCTTTAACACAATGAGTGGTACCCAGTATGGGCTCAGGAAGTGTCAGCTATGGTCAGTTTTCCTTTTCTCCCTCATGAGAGCTCCTGGAAGGCAATTTTCATGAATGACTTTATAGGAAACATGAAAACGGAGTCTAACAAGCTGCAGGAAGTCATGGTACAGCTGTCCCTAACATGTGGCCAGCTAAGCTTTTACTGTCATTATTATTCTCGAATTTAAATATGCTGCAAGGCTCACCTCTCCGTCGACACTCTGCAAACCATACTGTTCGCAGATGGAGACTAGCTCCTTTCGGTTCAGGTGACCATCACGGGCGATCCCCAAATCTTCACAAACCTCCTGCAGTTTCTCTTCTATCCAGTCTTGGGGAGGGGCAGTTCCACTCTGCGAAGCATTCAGATCATCTGGGTTCCAAAACCTCAACTGGCCTGAAATAAAATCACATATTGTGTTGTCTCCAAAATAACTGCAAAGAGCGTATGCTTCTTCTTAAAGAAAAATGTGCTTTTGGGGCTGGCAGTTGGCGTAATGGCTATGTCGCTCGACTCCCACGTAGTCAACCGCGGTTCGAGTCCCGGACCTGGTGGCTTAAACTCACACCGGGCGCGTGTGCGTGTGTGCCCAAGATCCTGAGAGGAGAATGGAGGAGAAGGGATTGCGGCGTGACCAACCACCCTGGGGGGTGATTTCTCGCTTTCTGTCTCTCTCTGTCTGGCGAGTGCATGCGCCCTATAGCAAAAACCTCTCCAAAAAAAAAAAAAAGAAAAGAAAGAAAAACGTGCTTTTGAAAATTAGTATTACAAGAAGAGAATAACTGTCACTTCCATCTTGATTTGTTCCTGCAGGTCCAATGAAATGGAACCACTGGTTGTTAGGATGTAGCTAGAGCAGATGCACTCTTTTGCTGGCAGTCACGCCTGCGTAAGAAACATTATCTCTGCAATCACGCACCAGGTTCTAGGCTTGTTCTGTTCCAACTGGGAACACCACAAGCTTAGGCTCCAGTGAGGTCATGAGAAGATAGGGAAAGGGCCACCCCAGAAAGCTATATAAGCCCTGCCTCAGCTATGGTTTCCAAACTTCATTACCTCCACTTTCTTTCTTTCCTTTTCTTTCTTTCTTTCTTTTTAAGTTTTGCTATAGGGTGCATGTGCTCGCCAGAAAGACAGAGAGAGTGAGGGAGGGAAGGGAGGAGAGATGGAGAGAGAGGGAGAGAAAGGAAGTGAGAGGGAGAGAGAGGGAGAAAGAGGGAGAGAGAGAGAGAATGAATCACCCTCCAGGGTATATGGCCACACCACAATCCCTTCTCCTCCAGTCTCCTCTAAGGATTTGGGATATATACCCACATCCCCCCAGTGTGAGGGGTGTGGGATTCAAAATACTGCAGTTGGCCATGGGGATCCAGGTGCCTTAACCTCCAAGCCACCTGCTGGCCCCTCCACTTTCTTTCTAATCTAATACTAGAGCATCTTTTACTGAGGAGAAAATCATTTCATGATAACAGTCTCAAGATTGGCGTATTCCCAAATCTTTACATTTGAATGCTGGGACCCTCAGAAGACAAGCAATGCAATGTGCAAGAATGGATGTGAGACCAGCACATGGCATAATGGCTACATCACTGGACTCCCATGTAGTCAACCATGGTTTGAATCCTGGACCCAGTGGCTTAAGCTCATGCTGGGTGCATGCCCATACATGCCCAAGATCCCGAGAGGAGAAGGGAGGAGAAGGGATTGCGGTGTGACCATCCCCCCTGGGGGGTGATTTCTTGCTTTCTGTCTCTATGTCTCTGTCTGTCTGGCGAGTGCACGCACCCTATAGCAAAAATCTCTCCCCCCCAAAAAAACAAAAACAAAAACATAGTTGTGAACTGTATGTTCCTAATTATCTACATATTAAGGATAAGTTCTATTTGAATACTTAGGAATCCTATTTATTTAAAAATCAAAACTGCTGATTAATCCTCTATAAAAGTCCCCACTTCCAAATTCTCCACTTACGTATTAGAGATTCTGTCAAGTCATTGCTTAGGAATGAGGTAATTATTGGCACAATTTTGTGTGCCTTGGAAGAGCCTTGAAAGTTTGAAAGGAGCATTTAGCATTTATCGACAGAAATTAAGCCCATTACTGCTGTGTCTTTCCAGGCTGGAGACCTAGAGAGCAGGTTATAATTACACTTAAGTACAATTAATCCAGGGTAGGCAGTGGAGTGGGCAGAGGGTCTGTCAGCGGAACCGCAGTGCCATCTAGTGGCTAAAGGATCAATGGGTTAGAATAATTTTTTTTTTTTTTTTAAGTTTATTCAGTAACTAGTTCATTCAATGGCGGTGAGATGGGGAGGCAGAGACAGGCACCCTAACAAGGTCTCCACTCTTGATTCACACCACCCTCAGTCAGAGCCTGCCTGGCGTGCACAAGGAGGCCTTGGGATGTGCACCTGGGGCAGATCCTTGTGGGTCCAGTGGCATCACCATTGTGTCACGTTCTGGCCCTTCTGCTGCTTCTTAAATATATCTGAAACTTGTCAAGGGATATGTTTTTGTAAGTCACTATTTCCGTCTGTTTGCAATTTATTTGTTACTTGGTAAAAGAGAGTAGTTAGCTTCCAGATGGAGTTCTGCATCCTAGTTGCCATTGTGAGCTATCACTGGGAATGAATGATTTGTCAGTGGTGCTCTTCATGTTAATTCCCAGCTGGCCTGAGCACACAAGGCTGTTAGAGAAGGCTAAGCGATGTGGGATGGTGGGGTGGGGAGAATACCTAAGAATAGCAGCCCTTCCCTCCCTGGCAAGTCCAAGGCATACACTCAACTCTTACCTTCCGCTTCATACTCCTCACTGCGTTGTGTCTTCCAGTGCTAGAGAAGGCAAGAGACAATGAGTTACTTGAGAATGTATTTAGAAAGAATTACCCCACCTTCTCCCAGACCAGGTCTCTCTCTGACTGTGAAATCATCTGAGTGAGTCACGAGGGTTAGGACCTGCCAATGCTTCCACCCAGGTGGACTGTGCTCAGCTAATCAGCCAATCAGGAGGAGACCCCTCAGAGACCCCACACAGTCCTCTGCCATGTTTTGCCAAGGAGCTGCCTTTCTTGTTTGAGGTCACGTATTCGATAGCAAAACCTACCAACCAATTACAAGCCGAAGCAACTACTCAGTATCTACCAACCAAAAAGGGCTTGTGCACGCATGCATTTATGACTTTGTTCTTCTGTACATGTGTGCTGAGCGCCTACCTTTGTGCTAGGTGTTGGCAACACAAGCAACAACAGGAAAAGCACATTTCCTGTTTCAAGAGTTTACATGTTCATGAAGACATGTGGACAGGAATACAGGAAGGGCAACAGTGCTTCAAGGGCTACAGCAGAGAAGTTCAAGACGCTATGGTGGGACCTAATGAGAGCTCAGATGTGGTAGATGAGGGTAGACTTCCTGGAAGAAGTAATGTCTAAACAGACCTGCCGGGAGCCAAGGGGAAAGAAGGGATTAGTTACTATCTACAGCCTCCAGCAAGGAGGCTAGGATGAGTCTGAGTGCTTGTGGCACTGCGTGGGGAGAAAGAGGCAACTCAAAAACAGGACAGAAATCTCAAGTGAAATAAAATACAGATTACCAGTAAACCACATTAGAAAGCAGTGAAGCTGATCTGAATTGGACCGTCCTGCCCCTTTGCCACTACTATGTCACTACGTCTTCCCCAAGGTGACGGTTACACTGTGCATACTGTGCAAAGGCAGTCAGCCAAGGGCACAAGTCAGTACCAGCCTCCAGCCCTTGACCCACTGGCCAGGCTTGGTGCAGCTCTACTTCTAAGCCGGGTGCAATAAGGAGGTCCACAGTAGCTTTGGTCTCTCCAGCCAATGGCTTTAGCTAATGGGAGCTTTGACAGACACTTAAAGAAGCCCTTCTGAGACAAGGTGAGTCCCCTTTTCAAAACTGGGCTGCTGTCTTCGTAAAGATCCAACTTTAAAAATAAAGCTGCCAGGCCCAGCAGATGGCATGATGGCTACGTTGCTGGACTCCCACATGGCTGACAGCAGTTCAAGTCCTGGACCCAGCAGCTTCAAACTCCCGCCAGGGGCATGTGTATGTGTGTCCAAGATCTTGGGAGGAGAATGGAGGAAGGAGGGATTGTGGCGTGGTCATCCCCTGAGAGGGATTTCTCCCTTTCTGTCTCTGTCTCTGTGTTTCTCTCTCTCGCATGCCCTATAGCAAAAAATCTCTCTCTAAAATAAATGAAGCTGCCTTTGATAACAAATAACCAGCCCATTGCCTGTGAAGGCTGATCAGTACAAGGCTGATTTCCTAGACTCCTGAAAAAAGATCAACATGAAAATAAGTCTAATTAAGTTGTTTCTAGGGCTAGAATTCCTCATGTTAGATGATATGCCACCTAAAATTATCACCCTCCCCTTTTCTAGACAAGGTCTTACTTACTATATTGCCCAGGCCAGCCTCAAACTTGCAACCTTCCTGCTTCAGCCTTCCAAGTTGCTAGGATTATAGGCATATGCCACCACACCTCATCTTTAGGTTGGACCAGGACCGGGAATCAAACAGGGGCCTCCCATGTAGTCCCGCCGGCGGAGCGCAGTGACTTAGCAGCACATGCCACTGCAGCTGGGCTCCACCTAAAACTCTGAGATTAGGGCCAGCAGAGGGCATGGTGGTTAAGGCTCTGGATCCCATATAGCTGCTTCTGTGGTTCAAGTCCTGGACCTGACAGCTTGAAAAACATACCAGGTATGCGTGGATGTGTGCCTAAAACCCCAAGAGGAGAATGGAGAAGCGATTGTGGCAGGCCATCCCCTGGGTGGGAGGATGCTTTCTCTCTCTCTCTCTCTCTCTGGTGAGCACATGCGCCCTATAGCAAAAACCTAAAAACAAAAAAATTCTCAGATTACACATTGCCTATCAGTAATTTGTTCAAGTTGTTGTGAGCTGAAGTTCTTTCAAGTAACCTAAACTCATCTGCTTTATACACTCACTTGTAGTCATTTTCACCTTTTAAATGAGGGACAAACAGGATTTCATCATCCCATGTTTTACTTGGGAAGATACTGAAGTTAGCACCGATCCTGAGAGTTCACCTAATTTGGCCTCGCTAAACTGAAACCCCCAACTGACAATGCCGAGATGGATTATTTTCACCCAAGAGGACACCAAAAGGCTGTAACGCAAAATGTGAAGGTTTGACGCACTTACTCAGATTACAATGGAGAGTCGCTAATGTTCATGGTGCCAGCGGGAATGAAATCAGGACACGGCGAGATCTGCTCGCCTGTTAGTATGACAGTTTCATCAGCTCACTTGGCCCACATTTCTAGAGAGAGACACATCTCCAAACGAGTGGATGCATGAGCACAGCAGGGGCAGGGAGGGACTGCTAAACAGTCCTCTGTCTGTTTATTTTCTTAAGAGTTATTTTATTTAATTTTATTCATTGTCATTATTTTATTTATTTATTCTTTTTGAAGTCGACCAGAGAGAGACAGAGAGAAAAAAAAGAAAGTGAGAAAGTAAGCAGCCAGGTCTGGGACTCGAACTGCGGTCAGCCACGTGGGAGTCCATTTTTTCACATTATTGTTTCTGGCCAGAATCCAACTATTTTTATATAAAAAATTTTAAATCAAGAAAGCTCCATGAATAAAAGCATCCTGCCTGTCTGTCCTTCCATATTTATGTCTTTATCCAAGAGAGAAAATGAGTAACTGCTCCTAACACTTAGACATCCAAAACTGTGAAAATTTATTATTCAGCATATAAATTGGAAACACCCAACTTCTTCTTGGTGGAATTAAATCCATGTACAGTAGGGGCCAGCAGGTGGCATAGTGTTAAGGCGCTTGACTCCCACATGGCCAATCGTGGTTCAAGTCCCGGACCTGGCAACTTGAAAATCACACTGGGCACGTGTGTGTTACCCAAAATTCCAGGAGGAGAATGGAGAAGGTCATCCCTCCTGGGGAGTGATTTCTAACTTTCCCTCTGTCTCTGGGGAGTGCACACAGCCTGGGCAAAACCAAAAACAATCCACCTACAATAAATAAGATAGGATTTTATGGTCAAAGAACTTGTGGTCAAAATAAAATCTACCGAATTAGAAGCAGGGGATGGGGTCAGCCCATGGCATGGTGGTTCAGGAAGCTGGATCACACATGGCTGACCATGGGGTTTGAATCCTGGGCTGGTGGCTTAAAAACACTCTGTTCGTGTGTGTGTCCAAAATTCCTAGGAGAATGGAGAAGAGACTGCGATGCAGCTATCGCCCATGGGGAGTACTTTTCCACTTTCTGTTTCTCTTTGGCAAGTGCATGTGACCTCTGTAAATTAAAAAAATAAAATGAGAAGTAGAGGACAATTTTTTTAACTGCCAGAGGGGACATGCACTAGCCAGAGAGAGACAGAGAAACAGAGACAAAGGGAGAGAGCACCCACCCCACTGGGGCATGGTCACGCCACACCCTTCTCCATTTCTCCATCCTGTGGGTATTCTGAGCATGTACACATGCACACCTAGCATGTTTTTCACTTCCTTGTTTCTTTCTCCCTCTCATATTTTATGAAGTTTTTGCTATAGGGTGTATGTGCCCACCAGAGTGAGAAAGAGAAAGAAAGTGAGAAATCACCCCTCTAGGGGGGATGGCCACACCGAAATCCCTTCTCTTTTAGTCTCCTCTTGAGATTTCTGGCAAGCACGCACACACACCCAGCATAATTTCCAAGCAGCTGGGTCTGGGACTCTAATTGTGGAGTTGGCTATGTGGGATCCAACGCCTTGACCTCCGCACTACCTATGGGCCCCTTTCCCTCATTTTTACTTCTAACTAATAAGAGAGAAATGTGGAGGGGGCAGCACAGCCTTGGGAGCCAGAGTGCCTGGTGCTAATCGCGGCTTGCCTACCATGTTGGCTGCAGGCAGATTTCTTGACCTCTCTTACCTCATTTTCCCCACCCATAAAATGGGAATAAAGTTGTACACAGTTCATAGAGTTACGGTAAAGCGCTTAGACTTGTGCTTGGCACAGAATAAGCACCATAAAAATTTTATTTATTGGACATGTGTTTATGTAATACATATTAAATTTATATTTGCAGAATTTTTTTATTACTATGTTTAAACTTAAAGCATTCTTTTGGGTAGGCCTGAAGAGGTATCCATTATTCATATAAATCTGTAAGAAAAATGTCAAGTCTCTAGCAGAGATGCAAAGAACACAGACAATTCACATAAGAGGCAACATAATTAAACAAATATGGGCGAAGGTTCATCTCGACAGCAAATCAAAGCAATATAAATTAAAATCAAGGAACCGCTGTTACAAAAAACATTAGCAAAGTAAGTGATGACTCCCTACCATCAAGTTATGATTTAAAACAGGCCTGCTTACTGGCGGCAATGTAAATAGATATTATTCTTTTAGTAAAGGAAATGCCTCTATGTATTAGAAGCAATACAAATCTTCATGCTATTTGACCCAATCATTAGAATTTCATTTTATTTTCAAAAACAATTAAATCTAAGAAATAGCAAAGCTATATCTGTAGTATGTTCATTATAGCATTTTTTGGTAACAATAAAGTATTGAAAACAATTTCAACAATAGGGCATAAAGTATAATGATACATTATAATGTAGTCATTAGAAGTATAATTAAAAACCATGTAGAAACATAGGAAAACATCTTTTGAAACGTTGAATGAAAGACCATAACAAAAATGCTATCCACGCTATGATTACCACTGGCAAAAATATTTATACAATTGGACAAAAACTGGAAGGAAACCAAGATAATAAATTGAGGTACATTTTAGCTGAAGGGCTGTAGGAGACCATTTTCTTTCATTTCCCTTAC